CCAGGGAGTGGGAGGAGGGGCCTGTGGGCCCCTTAGCTTCAGCAGTAGGTTGTCCATCAAGACTCATGTAGTGGGGCTTCCCCCTAAAAAGAAAGGGGGTTTGGCTGTAGGGCAGCCAAAAACCAACAAAAGTCTGGTGGTAAAAAATAAAATAAAAATTTCTTGAATTGTGAGAAAGGAAAAAGAAAGGAAGCCTGGTGGTAACGATGATATGAAGCCGGGAGGAGATGCTGCCTTCTTTATTGAAACCAAACACAAGTCAGAGGCATCTGGACCTTTAACACTGGCCTGACCCAAAGCCCCTTGCAATCACCTACCCATTTCTGCTGCCGCCGCTACAGGTGCCCAGCGGGACCCTAGTCCGTCCTTCACATTCTGGCCAGGTCTGGATGCACACTGCCCCTTGCCTTTACAGCCCAGCACGGAGCGAAAAGCAGGCCAGGTGAATCAAACAAGATGGTAGCGATGACCTGGGAGAATACAGAGGAAAGAAACACAGACCCTATTCACTTATTCCATGTCCTTTTATCGGGCACGAACCAGGTACCAGGTACAGAAGAGAATAAGATCCCTACCCCACGGAACTTACAATCCGGTGGGAAGACAGTCAAACCAGTGACATGTAAGTAGATGAGGACACTACAGGCAGGAAACTCGAGGAGAATGAGATGGAGAAGAACTAGGGGAGGCTCTTGGGAGGTGGGGTATGGGAAGGACCCTGAACTAAAGCTGAAGCTGATGTGCAGAGACATGGGGTGACTGTGAACTCCAAGACTCTGGGGCTGGAACACGCTTGCTGTGCTTGTGAGACAGACAGGTGGCCCATGTAGCCGGACCAGAGCGAGCTGGGGTTGGAGGAGGTGATATTAAAGTCACCCAGGGTGCTCGCTTCGGCAGCACATATACTAAAAATTGGAACGATACAGAGAAGATTAGCATGGCCCCTGCGCAAGGATGACACGCAAATTCGTGAAGCGTTCCATATTTTTTTAAAAAAAGATAAAAAGAAAAAAATAAAAAATAAAGTCACCCAGGGAGGCCCTCCCTGGTGATCCAGTGGTTGAGACAAAGCTTCCACTACAGGGGTACAGGTTTGATCCCTGGTCAGATCCCACCTGCCGTGGGGTACAGCCAATAAATAAGTAAATAGGTCAGCCAGGGAAAGAAAGAGCTTTTTTTTTCTATCAGCGGAAGGCACCTAAGGGCCATCCTTTGATTAGAGGAATGAGTGGGGAAGAAGATGGACTGGGTGCAGGTACGGGTACAGGGTCAGTGGAGGTGAGGGCAGGGCTTCCTACCATGTTGGGCTCCTGTTTCCTCAGTGAGATATGAGACTAGGTCATCACTGCACAGGGGAAGTAGGAGATGTCAGGACACGGGTCCATAAGGCCACGCCAGGCTTCCAGTGTCCTCGACAGAGCCACGATACAGTCCTGGGGAGGCCCTCATCCTCCTGGGCACCTCCTGGCAGTTCCCCTCAGGGGGATGGAGGCATTCCCTTGACTGAGGTCAGGGGTAGCAACCGAAGCCTCAACCATCACAAGTACAACATCAGTCAGGATCATCATCACCATCACCTTCACACCAACAGACACAAGGACAGGACTGGAAACCCTGGAGGGCACCCTGGCCCTGTGAGCTAGTGGGACCCCAGCCCCTGCCTGCCTGTGGACACAGCGGTAGGACTGTCCCGGGACAGAGCTAGTGGTGTGTTAAAGCCAGCTCCTCCTGCTTGCAAGACACGATGGTACGAATTTCTTCCCGATGCCACGTGCAGTGACAACACATAAATAGCTAGAAATCAAGACAGTGGAGGGCTTTTGGTTATTTTTCCTGGGCAGTCAGTTGCCCAGCAAACCCTGAGGACAGAGGCCCTGACCTGCACCACTTGCCTCTGTAAACTCCAGAGGCTGGAGCACAACCAGTGCAAGGAGGGTGCAGAGTTCTGGTGCTCAGGTCGTCTGGTGGGAGGATATTGGGTGGAGGTGGGAGGTGCCCTCCCCTCAAGACACACCTGATGGTGGACCAGAGCCTGGGCATCACCAGAGCCTCTGCTCCAGCCCAGGAGCCTAAAGGAAGCCTGTGGATTCCCAGCTGGACTGCCTGACTCAATCTCTTGGGCTGGGTCTGTCCTGGGAGGGACCAGCGGGCTGCTTCTCCCTGCTCCCTGATCCCAAGATGAGCACTGACCTTGGTCATAAACTGGACCTGAGCCCCGTGACAAAGATCTCCACCCAGGCCCAGACAGCACCCCACCCTGGTTCTGGGTTGGGCTATGTTGGGGCCACAGAAAACACACTCCCACCTCTATCTGTGCCTGCCATAGGCTCAGCCCTAAAGTCATGTCAAAGCCCAGCCCTTGAGCCCAGAGGGGAGCAGACCTGGCCAGAGGCTGGCTCAGCACCATCCACCTCTATAGTCAAGGCTTAAAATCCTGCCTGGGAAGCAAACAGTGTGAAACAAAACCAAATTAAAACCCATCACCATCTCCTCCTTGTTTTAGTGACACATCTTCATCTTCGGAAAGAAAGCCTAAAGGCAAAGCATATTTTCTAAGACCTGAAGAAAGAAAGAATCGGACACGACTGAGCGACTGAACTGAACTGAACTGAAAGAAAGAAAGTGAAGTCTCTCAGTCGTGTCCGACTCTGTGTGACCCCATGGGCTGTAGCCTACCAGGCTCCTCTATCCATGGAATTTTCCAGGCAAGAGTACTGGAGTGGGCTGCCATAGACCTAACCCTTCCCCATTCCTTTCAGGCTCTCTGTGTGACTTGGAGGATTCTTGCACTAAACTCTCCATCCTCTGTCTGCAAACACAGGCCTGCAAGTCACCAGGAGGACAGGGAGCTGTAAACATCCCAGGAGCTTCACCTGAGAACCTAGGGGTGGAGGCCAGGGCCTTATCTAGTGTAGGGGCAAGATCATTCCTCTCTACAGCCTCAGTTTCCCCATCTGTAGAGTGAGAGCTTCAGCTTTCCAGCTCTAACAGCCAAGGATCTCAGGACTGCCCTAGAAGTCCAGTGGCAAAGACTCTGCGCTCCCAATGCAGGGAGCCCGGGTTCAATCCCTGGCGAGAGAACTAAATCGCACATGCCACAACTAAAAGGTTTCACATGCCGCAACTAAGACCCATTGTAGCCAAATAAGTAAACATAAATGTTAAAAAAAAAAAAAAAAACAGAAAAAACAAAGTTAAGGATCTTGATGGAAATTTAGGGCCCCATGTTCAAGGGTTGGAAGGGTTGTACTTCCTGGACAATTTAGACCCAAGAGACCCAGGAAACTTTTCCTAAAACATACGTGGGATACTGGGTTCAAGTCCCAGGATGTCTTCTTAGTTGTTCTGATTCCTTGCACTAGTGACTTGGCTTCTCTGAACCTCAGTTTTCTCATCTGTCAAATGGCAGTAACACCAAGTTTCTGAAGATGAAACGAGATGGAAGCAAGAAAATTGCTTTGGGACTTCCCTGGTGACTCAATGGATAAGAATCCGCCTGCCAATGCAAGGAACATGCATTTGATCCCTGGTCCAGGAAGATTCCACACGCCGAGGAGCCACTGAGTCTGTGCCCCACAACTCCTGAGCCCAAATGCTGCAACTATGGAAGCCGATGTGCCTAGAGCCTGTGCTCCACCATAGAAGTCCACACACAGCAGCATGAGAGTAGCCCCTACTCTCTGCAGCTAGAGAAAGCCCGCGTGCAGAAACCAAGACCCAGCACAGCCAAAAATAAATAAATAAAGCAGTGTGTCACGTAAAAAAAAATAATTTTTAAAAAAAGTGCTTTTAAGGTGTGGTGCAGTTGTCCTGGGAGGGAGGGGCATTTGGCATTCCTGTTGTCATGGGTTAATGCTTGGCCTTCCAGCAGAGCCCAGAAGGTGGATCGGTCTGGCCAAGCTCTCGGGTGGGAGACCTCTTCAGTCTTCCCGGAACCCACTCCACCGCCCAAAGCCGGCGCCAGCCCTGCATAGGCCAGCTGCCTGGCCTCCCCACCTCCCCACCTTAGAGATGACAAACTTTCCTCACTGACCATGAAGGGATTGCAGGGTTCAGAGTCGGACTGGCCTTGGGGATCCTCAGGTCCCATCCCCTTATGGTGGCCCAGACAGGAAAAGGGCTTGCCCCAGGAGGCACACAGTAAGTCAGCAGCAAAGCTGGACCTCAAACCCAGGCCTCTCTTTGCTCTACCCTGGCCCCTAAAGTGGGATCCTCTGGAATCCTTACAGCAACAACGCCCCAGCAGGTGCCCCAAGTCAGCACCCTGAGGCAGGCAGGGACTCTGGGAGACAGGGCTGTCTAAGGCATGCCTCAGTAGTCATCACGCCCTCTGGGATCCTGCCTCCTCCAGGAAGCCTTCCCTGATTGGCACCCACAAGGCTGGCAATGAGTTCCTTGCCACATACCTCCTTTGACAGAAAGGTGAAAGGTGTCAATTTGCCTGTCTGCTGGCCTCCGGACTGAGAGTGTCTCAGGATAGGGAATCTCTGGATTCATCTGGTCTCCCCACAACAGGGGTCTAGACCAGACCGAGGGCAAAAGAAGGAGGGAGTGGAGAAGGAAATGGCAACCCACTCCAGTATTCTTGCCTGGAAAAGTCCATGGACAGAGGAGTCTGGCGGGCTGAAGTCCATGAGATTAACATGACTGAGCATGTGTGCACGAAAGTGGAGGGAGATGGGTTGGTAGCAATAAAGTGGTGGAACTAAAAAAAAAAAAAGGAGGGAGGAGTGGGAGACAGAGGGATGGGAGGGCTCTCGGGGACAAGAAGACAGTGCACTGGGATTGACTGGCCCAAGCTGTCAGGACATAGGGTGGGGCCGACTGGACGTGGGAGTCAAAGACCCCGCCCCTTCAGACGTCAATTCCCGGGCCGCCCAGCCCTCCCCAGCGGCCAGAACCCCCGGGCGGGCTCCTCCCGTGGGAACTGCTGTCTCGGCAGCGGGCACCCAGCCACGTGGGTGCCAGGAATGAGGCTTGGCTGCAGGGCGGGCGCTTACCTGGGTAGCGTTTGTTCCGGGCCCTCTCGACGGGGCTGCACCCTGCTTGGGACTGGGGAGGGGGCGGCTCTGGGCGGAGGCCTCGCTGGGAAGGCGGGTGCAATGGGCGGGCCCAGGGAACAGAAGGCATTTCTTCTCCCGCCAGCGCGCCCGCGGAGCAGCAGCTGGGCAGCACCCGGGAGCTGGTTAGAGCTGCAGGTTCTCAGGTCCTTCCCCTGCTGTTCAGAATCTACACTTAAACAAGATCTCCGGGTAACTCCTATGCACATTTCCTTTTGAGAAGCCCCGTTTTGCAAGTGTCGGCCGGCCTGTGTATTTACAAGGCAAATAAGTAAATGTCTACACATTTCCAGTTAATATAATAAATAACTCATGGGTGTACTGCATGGTAACTAAAAATAATAATGCTGTATGGTAATTCAAAATTTGCTGAGAGTGGATCTTACAAGTTCTCAACACACAAAAAATGTAACTAGATGTTAGCTAGATATTGTGGGAATCAATTCAGTGTATACAAATATCAAATCATGTTATACATCTGAAACTTAAACGTTTTATGTCAGTTATATAGCAACTAATAATTAAATCATGAGGGGGAAAAAACGTGAACTTCTTTTCATTTCTTCATTTCATTACCTTGATTTTTTTTAACAAAAATAGGAGTATGTGAATAGGATATTTTATCTGTGAATTTCACTCCATTACTGGAAAGCAATATTGCCAGAAGTGAAAGTCACTCAGTCAGGTCTGACTCTGCAACCCCATAGACTGTAGCCTGCCAGGCTCCTCTGTTCATGGACTTCTCCAGGCCAGCGTACTGGAGTCGATAGCCAGTCCCTTGTCCAGGGGATATTCCCAACCTAGGGATCGAATCCAGGTCTCCCGCATTGCAGGAGGATTCTTTACCATCTGAGCCACCAGGGAAGCCCAATATGGCCAGAAACTTATTATAAAAGAAGGTGTGGGGTCTGCTGGGGCTAGAAACCCACCGATGAATACCCACTCCTATTTTTAGTCTGCAGTGTCAGCCCTGAGTAGACAGAAATGGGAGTAGGCAGCCCTTGAACCTGAGGATCTTAACTTCTGGCAGGGTAGATGAGACAGATGTATATTGCTGCCTCCTGAACCTCAGTTTCCTCACCCATGAAATGGGCATAAACAGTCATCAGTCAGGGATTCCCAGGTAGCACTAGTGGTAAAGAATTCACCTGCCAATGCAGGAGACATAAGAAAGATGGATTTGGTCCCTGGGTCAGGAAGATCCCCTGGAGTAGGAAATGGTAATCCACTCCAGTATTCTTGCCTGGAGAATCCCATGGACAGAGGAGCCTGGCAGGCTACAGTCCATGGGGTCACCAAGAGTTGGACACAACTGAAGTAAGTAAGCACCATCATCAGTCATGTCTGCCTGCCTCCTCAAGGGGCTGGACAGGCTCCAATGAGCTTGGGGACAAGGAGGGGCTTTGTGAGCTGCCTGGTACCTGAGGGATGTGAGGCCTGAGAGTGCCCTGCTTACAGCTATCTTCTGGTGTGCATCCCGGTCCTTCAGAGTCCAGCCTTCAGGCTCCTCTTTTTCTCCCAGAGCCCCTCTGCCTCTGTGGTCTCCCTCTCTCTTCCTCCTTCCTCCCCATCCCCACTTCCAAAAAACCCACACCTGTCTGAACCTTGCTCCAAATTAGAACTGTTTCTGCGGAGAGCGAGCACGAACTGAGTGCTGACTACAAGCCAGGATCCTTCCTGCACTGGATCTTTTATGCCGGTCCAGAGACCTGCTAATAATACCCCATTGAGCAGATGAGGTATTACTCACTTCATGTATTCTGATAGGACTTCTGGTCCCATCACTTCATGGCAAATAGATGGGGAAACAATGGAAACAGTGAGAGACTTTATTTTCTTGGGCTCCAAAATCATTGCAGATGGTGACTGCAGCCATGAAATTAAAAGACGCTTACTCCTTGGAAGAAAAGCTATGGCCAACCTAGGCAGCATATTAAAAAGCAGAGGCATAACTCTGACGAAAAATTGTCTGTCTAGTCAAAGCTATGGTTTTCCCAGTAGTCATGTATGGATGTGAGAGTTGGACTTTAAAGAAAGCTGAGCGCCGAAGAATTGATGCTTTTGAACTTGAGACTTGAGACTCCCTTGGACTGCAAGAAGATCCAACCACTCCATCCTAAAGGAAATCAGTCCTGAATATTCATTGGAAGGACTGATGCTGAAGCTGAAACTCCAATCCTTTGGCCACCTGATGCGAAGAGTTGATTCATTGGAAAAGACCCTGATGCTGGGAAAGATTGAAGGCAGGAGAAGGGGACGACAGAGGATGAGATGGTTGGATGGCATCACCGACTTGATGAGCATGAGTTTGAGCAAGCTGGTGATAGACAGGAAGGCCTGGCATGCTGCAGTCCACAGGGCTGCAAAGAGTCAGACGTGACTGAGCAACTGAACTGGACTGAACTGAGTGGATGAGAAAACTGAGGCTCAGCGAAAGGGAGTGGTTTGTGTCCAGGGTACACAGCCAATAAGAGGCCACGCTGGAACTGGAACTCAAGCTTTTGGTTTCTCCAACACCAGGCTTCCTTGGCTGGAAAACATAAACCGATTTTCCGTGACCTTGAGGAGGACTCCATTCGCAGCCCCCCCACCCCCCACCCCGCAGAGATCTGCCTGAAGCCACACTGCACCACGCCCTGGTTCTAGAATAGTGCTGTTTCCTCCTTCCCTCAGTCATCCCTCATTTGTCTCATGAATATTTGTAGACTCCAGGAGTTGGAAAAAAAAAGTGAAGTCGCTCAGTCATGTCTGACTCTTTGCGACCCCATGGACTGACTCTTTGTGACCCCATGGACTGTAGCTCACCAGGCTCCTCCGTCCATGGGATTCTCCAGGAAAGAACACTGGAGTGGGTTGCCATTTCCTTCTCCAGGAGTTGGGATACCCAGAAAACAAACTCTCTGCCCTCCTGTCGATTCTGTTCCAACAGACAAAGAGGCAACAAATAGACAGGTAAACAGACAGCATGATGTGTAGATGGTGGTGGGTGCTATGGAAACAATAAAACAGAGGAGAGGGTGGGGAGGGGAGGTTGCCATTTATTATTTTTTAAGTTTTTTTAAAAATGTATTTATTTTTGGCTGCACTGGGCCTTCATTGCCGCACCTGGGCTTTCTCTAGTGTGGCGTGGCGGGGGCCGCTCTCTAGTTGCAGTGCAAGAACGTCTCATCACAGTGGGATCTTCACAACCAAGGATTGAACCCCATGTCAACTGCATTGGCAGGCAGATTATTAACCACTGGACCACCAGGCAAGTCCCAAGGTTGCCATTCTAACTGGGTAGTTAGAGAGGCCTCACGGAGAAAAAGACCTGGAAGAACTGGGAAGAAGCCATGTGGTTAAGAGGGAACAAATGTGTCGGGCAGCTGAAAGCAATCTCAAAGGCTCTGAGGTAGGAGAGCTCTGGCTTCGAGAAGATCAGTGTACCCGCAACAGATGATGGAGGGCAGAGGGGGAGGAGATGGGGGTGGGGTATCCCATGGAGCCTTGTGCGGAGTGGAAGGACTCTGGCTTTTACTCCAAGTGAGATGGAGGCATTAAAACACATGATCTGACTTCTGTTTGAAAAAGATCACTCTGGCTGCTGCGTTGAAACCACACTCTCAGCAACAAGTGCAATTGCAGGAGGGGCCGGCAGGGAGGCTCCAATAATCCAGGAGCGGGGGCGATGGCCACGGAGCTGGCAGCTAGCTGGGTGAGGGGCAAGACGGGCTCAGAGTCTGACCCATATTTTGAAGGTAGAGCCCACAGGACGTGCTGACATTTTCGATGTGGAATGGGAGAGGAAAAAAAAGAATACGAAATGGCTTCAGATGCTCAGCCCAAGAACTGGAAGTTGCCATTTGCTGTGGGAGGAGCAATTCAGCTCAAGAATTCAGTTTTTGACGTGCAAAATTTGAGGAACATAAAGAGACACGGAGAAATGTTATGTAAAATTAAACAAATGGGTATAGAGGTCAGAAGAGAGCTCTGGGCTGGAATGTATAAACCTGGGACTTACCAGCACAGAGATGGTATTTAAAGCATGAAACTGAATGAGTTCACCAAGGGAGTGAGTGTAGACAGAAAAGCTAAGAGGACCAGGGAATGAGTCCTGGGCACTTCACTGCTTAGTGGTTGAGGGGATGAGGAAACCACAAGACAGTACTCAGTGAAACAGAAAACTCAGGACAGTAAGGTCTCTTAAAAGCCAAGTGAAGAAAGTATTTCAAAGAGGAGGGAATGGCCAGCTGTGTCACATGCAATTTACAGACCTAGGAAAATATGAGGATTAAGAATTGACAGGACTTCCCGGGTGGCCCAGTGGTTAAGAATCTGCCTGTCAATGCAAGGGACACAGGTTCAACACCTGGTCCGGGAAGATTCCACATGCCGCAGAGCAACTAAAACCCAGGCACCACAACTACTAAGCCCGAGTGCCTAGAGCCTTTATATGTGAGAATATGTTAGGTGAATTATATCTTGATAAAGCCATTTTTGAAAAAAAATTGATGACTGGATTTACCAGTGTGGAGGTAACAGATGACCTCGACAAAAGCAGTTTTGGTCTAGTGGTAGGAACAAAAGCCTGACTGAAGTGTGTTCAAAAGAGAACTGAACAAGTGACGGCAGCAAGTATGAACATTTTCAAGGAGTTTTACTATATAGATAGCGCTCTACTTATAGTGGTTCGATTTATAACGGTTTGACTTATAATAGTTCAACTTACAAGTTTTCAACTCTGAAAGTGAAAGTGAAAGTGAAGTCAATCAGTCGTGTCTGACTCTTTGCGACCCCATGGACTGTAGACTACCAGGCTTCTTTGTCCATAGGATTTTCCAGGCAAGAGTACTGAAGTGGGTTGCCTTTTCCTTCTCCAGAGGATCTTCCTGACCAAGGGATTGAACCCAGGTCTCCCGCATTGCAGGCAGATGCTTTACCCTCTGAGCCACCTTTTCAACTTTCCAGTGGTACAAAAGCAATACTCACTCAGTAGGAAATGTACTATGAATTTTGATCTTCTCCCAGGCTAGTGATATTCAGTACAATACTCTCTCATGATGCATCTCAAGTGGCAACAAGCTGCAGCCCCCAGTGAACCTCGCTATCACATCACATTGAGGGGAAACAACCCATACACTTAAACCATTCTTTCACTTTAAGCACAGGATTCAATAAATTACACGAGATAGGAGACTTCCCTGGCAGTGCAGTGGTTAAGACTCTGCACCTCCAATGCAGGGTGTATGGGTTCGATCCTTGGTTGGGGAACTAAGATTCTACATACTGTACGCAGAGCAGCCAAAAAAAATTTTTAAACAATTACATGAGATATTCATTTATTAAATAGGGTTTGTATTAGATGCTTTTGCCTAACTGCAGGCTAATGCTAGTGTTCTGAGCACATTTAATGTAGGTTAGGCTAAGCTATGATGTTTAGTAGATTACATGTATTAAATGTATTTTCAACTTAGAATATTTTCAGATTACCATGGGTTTATGGAATGTAACTCCTTCGTAAGTCAAGGAAGATCTGTGTAGAGAAATGGGGTAGAGAGGAGGCAGATGTGAGGCCAAGAGAGACTTCATGATTTTGTTGTGGGTTTTTTTGAGATGCAAGAAGTTATGTTTCAGTGCTGATTGGAATGATCCAGGAGAGGGGGGAAATGGCCCAAGTGAAGTCCTTGAGTGGATGAGAGACAGGGAATCTGGTGTGTGAGTGGAGGGAAAGCACAGAGAAGAGCAAATGGACGAACATCTGAAGTAGCAGGAGGGACAAAATGCGGCAGATTCAGGGATTGGGCAGAAGGGGTGTTGAGAGTTTGTGGAAAGTGTCCTTTGATCACTTCTATTTTCTCAATGACTAGGAAGCAAGGTTAAGAGCTGAGGGAGGGTTGGGGGGAAGAGCTATCAGGGACTGAGGAGAAGTAAGACATTGTTTATAGGGGGACTTGCCTGATGGTCCAGTGGTTAAGAATCTTACTTTGCAATGCAGGGGATACGGATTCAAGCCTTGGTCAGGGAACTAAGATCAGGGGAAACTAAGCCCACGTGTCACAACTACTGAGCCCACCCACCACAGCTAAGACCCAGTGCAACCAAATAAATAAATTATTCTGCTTTTTAAAAAAAGAGAAAGAAATTGTCTATAGGACTGTGACAGAGTGACCAGACTAGGTCATATGCTAGGTCACATGGTAAGACAGTGCTAAGGGGCCCCTGGAAGAGGGTGGGGGTGACATTAAAGTGAAACCAATCATCACAGCTGTATGTCTTTCTCCAACTTCTGTCAGCTGTGTGGGTGCAAGTGCAGGGTTGTGGTTTTGGATTAACCAGGGTGTGGTTTTGCCAGGTGAGTGCAATTTAATACAAAAGGAGCAAGGGGGTTGAGGGCATATGCAAGGAAGTCATTATAATGACGGTCCATGGAATCTAAGCTGGTGAAGGAGGTAAGTCAGGACATGAGGGAGGCGAGGATCAGTAGGGGAAAAGGTGGGAAGATCAGTGGACTGAAGGTCCTGGTGGGTCTGGAAGCGATGGAGTCGGGGTTCCAGAGGGAGTGAGCAGAAAAGACAGGAGGTGGTGTCAGGAGGATGGGATACTTGATAATGAAATTACACAGGGTAGGGGCACAATTATGAGTAATAACAAGGTCTGGAAATTATCCTGGCCATAAGGGGCTGAGGCAGGGTGGAGGACAAGAACCATGGGAGGAGGGAATGGGTGTTCTTCATAGGGGAGGGTCATCTGTGTGTCACTGAACAAACCAAGTCATCCTCAGAGGCAGGGCCCTGGGTAGCACATGGGCTTGGGATTCAGCCAAACCTCAATATGAAGCCCTTCTTGCCCACCCCCTCTCATGGGAGTCGTACTCAACTTAATCAGCTTCTCTGAGCCTCAGTTTTCTCTCATGCAAAGCAAGAGATCACTCCTAAGTCAAAAGATTATGTTCTGAAAATTGAATGAGCTGTGCAGAAAGTGCCTGGTGTGGTTTTAGGCACGGGTGCTCTGTAATGTCGGTGGATCCCAGGATGTTCCTGTCTTGGGTCTCAGAGCTGAGGAGGGGCTAACGTAGGGACCAAGACTCTCCCAGGACCCCTTCTCCTTTCCCACCATCTCAGATCATAGAAGGTGTGAGTGGAAGAGCCTGACTCCTATTTCTCTCCCATTTCACAGAATAGGAAACTGAGGCCCAGATAGGAAAAGTGACTTATGTGTGTCACTATGACTCAATTATCATATAGAGTAAGTTCCCTTGTAAAATCAGTTGAAGTCAGGATTAAGGCAGGAAATTTGTATGAGGGGGGAAAGGCTTATATATAAAACCTGAAAGACAGTTGGACTCTTCAGGATGTACTTTAGCCATCATTCCCCTCCATTTATTGGAACAATTAAAAGTTGATCTTGGTGAAAATGAAACCCTATGAGATTACCCCTGGTCTCTCGCCTCTTCTCTCTCCTCTTCCTACATCCCCAAGTCACACCCCCATCCCAGCACTGACGCTGAGGTCCTGTGATTGGTCAAACATTGGACCAATTAGCTTTGGAAATGGAGGTGTCAACAAAAGGGTGACTCACAGCCCCTGAATTTGCCAATTGCTCCTCCTAGCCCAGACAGAAAGAAGGGGAGAGGAAAAGAGACCTCTTAACTTTCCTTCTTTAGAGAACTTAATTCCAGGGTACGGAGTGGGTGCAGCATCAGCCCACTCTCACAAGACCCTATCGTGAGTAGTTCCAGCCCTCGCCAGTCTCCTTGGGGTAAATCCTTTCTGCTTTCTGGACCGCAGTTTCCACATCTACAAAGTGGGAAGAGAGTAAACAAAATGATTGTCAAAGAACCTGTCAGCTCAAGTCTTCAGAGTTCTAAGAATATGTGGCTTGGCCCCGTCTCTGCTGCCCTAGCTGTCCAGGGACAAGCATGGGGAGATTGGGCCAAAGTGGTTCCCGTAGACACAACGGAAAAATCACTTCCTTAGGGAGGCTTTCCACAATTGCACCATGTAACAATGTATATGAATCTCTCTGGTTCTCTTCCCTCTCTTGAAAACTGTATCTTTTTCACACTCACACATATGATTGCTCTCCCTCCCATTGCCCTGCTCTATTTTCTCCTTAACACTATTAGAAATGTCTTATTTATTTACTTACTTGACTGTGGTCTTACTACAGTTTGAGAAGGGCAGGGATCTAGCTCAACACCTGGTACACAGTAGGTGCTTAATATGTCAGTGTTGGTTGATGAATGAATAAATAAGTGGATGAATGGATCCTGAGGGTGGTACCAGGGCTGTGCCAAGCATGACTGTGATCTGTGCCAACTCTTCTAAGAAGAGCAGTTGGGCAAGAGGACTTTGGAATCAGGAGACCTGGATTCAAGTTTCACACTGCCCATTAGAGTTGTATGACCTTAGGCATGTCACTTGACCTTTCTAAATCTTAGGTTCTTCATCTGTTGGTTGAGGATAATGATGCCACATCTTGAGATGTATTTTTAGGAATTAGAGGTCATGTGTATAAAATATCTGTGCATAGTAGGTTACCCAGTAAATGTTACTTTCCCTTCTTTTCCTCCCTCTGCTGGGACATGGAAAGGATAGGTCAAGGGTTTGGAGAGTCTGGGTTCAGCTGAAGAATGTTTCTTATATATTTCTTATCTTTCAAGAGAAGGTAAAATAAAATAGCAAGCAACTGAGCTGAGGATAGTGCATGCATGAGACTTGCCCCAAGTCACAAAGCCAGTGAGTGGAGCAAATAGCAGATTCCCACCCTGAACCCAGACAAGATGGAGAGAAGGGACAAGGGCAGGATCTTGCTTGCACAGGCCTCCAGATAGAGGAAACAGGTGCTGTAGTCTGAGTCAGGTTCCTGGGATCTAGTCCTACATCCGTCTGAGGTAACCTGGTGACCTTGGAATGTCATTTACTATTTCTAGGTCTTGGTTTCTCTGTTCATTGGACACATTGCTCCTGCCCAGCCTACCTTAGAGAATGGGGGTGTTAGGAGAATTTTATTTAAAGAATTGCTAGAAGAATGATGTTTAATTTAAAAGAGAATACTGCAAGGATTTCCCTGGTGATCCAGTGGCTAAGATTCTGCACTCCAAATGCAGAAGGCCTGGGTTCGATCTCTGGTTGGGCAACTAGATCCTATATGCTGCAACTAAAGATTCCACATGCCACAGCCAAATAAATATTTTTTAAAAAGAGAGAATATTGCAGAGATGAATCAGACTCAATTTCTAGAATTTTGCCACCAGCACCTATATTTAAAATAAGAAAAGATTAAACATGATAACAATAAGCCTCATCCCACTAGGTTCTGTAAAGTGGGAGAGAAAAACATGTAAATGTATTATTTCAATAGAACATATGAATATGTTTTGCCAACTATAAATAACCAAACCAAATTTTTAAAAAATATTTATTGAGCCCCTTCTCTGGAGCAGATGAGGAAACTGATTTAGAGAGATTTAGGGACTTGCCCAAGGACACACAGGACCTGAGAAGCTAAGAGGCTGGCAGGAAGGATTTCCACCTGCTGCCCAGGAAGCTGCTGCCAGAAGACAACACTCCAGTTCCAGCTTCCCTCTAACCTCCAGCCCTGTGAAGGCCCTGAGTCTGCGCAAGTGTAGTGGAAAGAGCAGGTGCTCACAGACTCTCTAATGCAGGTTCAACACCAGGGCCTGTCTCACTTGCTGTGTGACCTTGAGACAGTCAAGCCCCTTCTCTGAGCAGGTTTTCTCATCCCTAAACCAAAACATGGGGCTTCCCAGGTGGCTCAGGTAGGCTTCCCGCCTACAGATCAGGAGACACGGGATACATTGGTTCGATCCCTGGGTCTGGAAGATCCCCTGGCGGAGGGCATGGAAACCCACTCCATTGAATATCTTGCCTGGAGAGTCACATGGACGGAGGAGCCTGGACTACAGTCCACAGAGTCGCAAAGAGTCGGACACGACTGAAGCGACTGAGCAGGAGCACAAACCAAACATTAACGCTAGCCAGGTAGAGGTGTACTCAGGAGAGTACATTACAAAGTATCTACCTCGTATAGAAGTTTGTCACCTTTTCTCAACTCCGGAAGATTGCCTGAGAGCAGGAGGAGCACTGTGTGAAGTTGAACAATTGGCGCGATCTCTCTGGGCTTCTGAAAATAGTGGATGACTAGGACCAGGCCCAGTGATTTCTAAATTCGTTCCAGTGCAAAAAAAAAAAAAAACACACCTTAGTGGTCCAATTCCGCTGCAAACTTCACAGGTCACTTCCTTCTCGTCTGCCCCTGGAGGGCGCAGTCCCTTTAAATCCAGGACTTGCCTTCCGCCCGAACCAATCGCCGCGAACAGAAGTTCTTTAAGGACCAAAGGAGGGAATTAAGCAGGAGCAGGAGGGCGGGCAGGGGCGTGCCATCCAGCCAATCGGAATCCTCCTGGCAACCAGTGACTCACGTGCAAAGCTTTGCTGACCAATGGCAGGCGCGTAGAGAGGCGGGGCGGTTCCCGCGGGTGACAGCAGTCCGAACCAATGGGCGTGTCGCCCGCGGCCTATAAGAATCTGCTGGGCCCCGGGCGACAAGCTTTAGGGTCGGTTGGTCGTCGCCGTCGGAGGTGTGCCCTGGGTTTGCCTCGCCGTCGCTGCTGTCCGGTCCCTGCGTCCTCCGCGTTGTCCGGGGCCCAGCCGCTCTCCCTGCCCTCCTCCCCTTAATCGCCCCCCGGTTTCTGCCGTCGGGGCCCCGGGGCCGGGCTAATGATGCCGTCGGAGAGCGGAACGGAGAGCCGGGACCGGGCGGCTGCACAGGTGGGGACGGCTGCGGCCGCGGCGGTGGCTAAGGCCGCCCCGGCAGGCGGCGGCCCTGACCCGGAGGCCTCATCGGCCTCCCTCGGACAGCACCTGAGCGGGTTGAGCTGGCCGCAGGTGAAGCGGCTGGATGCGCTCCTGAGCGAGCCGATTCCCATTCACGGGCGCGGCAACTTCCCCACGCTGAGCGTGCAGCCCCGGGAGATCGTGCAGGTGAGAGGCACTGGGCGGTGGATAGGGGGTCTCCATCCTGAGGCTCTCGTGGCTGGGAGGTTCCCGGAGTCTGTTCGATTTGCTGGACAGCTAGTAAAACAAGGCTCGGGGAAGGACAAGGCAAAAATCGCGCAACCTTGATGGGAGTCCACATCTTACTACCCCCGCACGTCATAATCTTCTTTCCCCACTTGACTTTCCCGTCCCCAGCCCCTTGAGGAGCCCCGATGGCCCTAGGACCATTCACCTAGGTCCTGGCTGGAGGGGGCGGGAAGTGGGGAGGGACCTGGTCTGGGAGGAAGAACAGCCCCGTCTGCAAGGACAGGAGATGCCAAGCAGCCCTGGGTGGGTAGCTTTGCACGCTTGAGCCTGAGATAGTTCTTTTCATCTCCAAATCGTCATCCCCAGGTCTCATGCTCAATCCTTTACCTCTCTCTAGATTCTAGGAGCTGATTCTGCCTGTTCTCTGCTCCCACAGCCCACAGCTCAAGAGCCCCCTCCAGAAAGCTGAGAAATTCCAGCTAGGACTACCTCTCAACTGGGGTTGTGTGGCAGGAAGAAATTAATCACGAGGCACCTGATGGCTGTGTGCTGGGGGAGCAACATCAGGTGTCCAGTTTAGCTCTTTCTTTCCTTTTCCAAGATTGGGAATGAGGGTTGAGTCTCTGGCCCCAAGCCCCATCTCTCTCCTGAGAAGAGAATTCTGGCAACTTCTTTCCTCTTTCACAGACTCCCTCTTCCCCTTACCTGGCCCTCAACAACCCTGAGGTCCCAAGAGGGGCCGTGGGCTCCGTAAGATTTCCTAGAGGTGAAAAGCAAACCCAGAGAATCTTTGGTCTTCCCAGGAGCTGGTTGCTGCAAGTTCAAGGCTTTCCCATTTCTTCCCAAGACTTCCCAAGTTCCCAAGACTCAATTTGTAGGTCTTAGCAGTTAGAAGAAACCAGAAAATCTAGCTGCAATTCCTGCATATTCCTGGCGTCAGATGGGGAAGTAGACATACAAGGCAGGTAAAGCAGACCACCCCCCATCCCTGGCTCTTCTGTCTTAGCTTCCACAGAGGGGGAAGGTTGCTTGCTGGGGGATTACCTCTCCCTCCCTCTCAAGGAATGGGAGGGGGTGGGGGCAGATTCCCTAGGGTTGAGTCATCAGTGGCGAGGCATTCCTGGGCTGCCCTGCTGTCATGGGGCAATTAGGAACCAGTTGAGGTTTTTCTCCTCCTTGACAGTCAGGTCAAACTTGGGGCCCCAAATGCCGTATCCCCAGGACTATTATCTCAGGCTTGAACCTAGTGTGGCAGTTCTCCTCTGCAGGGACATGGGGTGGCCTAAGGGGAAGTCCCTGCCCCTGTCAGCATGGTCCAAACTGCCTTTACTGGTATGTTCTCTGTGCCAAGCCCTGTTCAGGACACCAGGGCTACAGATGTGACTGAGACCCAGCCCCCTGGCTTTCCAGCTACTCCCATCCAGGTGGGGAAGGCTGCCCGTCAATAGGAGCTGACTCTCCAATGTGATAATAGTACAATGTCTCCTAGACTAGGGTCAGAAATATACAGAACAGAGAGCTGCCAGCTGTGGGGGGAGGAGGACTTAGAGACTTGGTGACTTAGAGACTGGGAGACAAAGTATGACTCTGTGGAACCCTATGGACTGTAGCCCACCAAGCTCCTCTGTCCATGGGATTCTCCAAACAAGAATACTGGAGTGGGTTGCCATGCCCTCTTCCTGGGGAATCTTCCTAACCCAGGGATCAAACCTGCGTCTCTTACATCTCCTGCATTGGCAGGTGGGTTCTTCACCAGTAGTGCCCCTGGGAAGCCCAGTGTCCCTATCTGTTCAATGGGGATAGGTTGAACTGCTCTCCGTTGCCCCTTCTGCTTCCAGAATCCAAAGGGTCCTCTACCTGGCCTGTACAAATGCCTCCACAGGGAAGAAAGTCCATCTTCTGGCAGGAATTTGTAGCTGGCAGCTTCACAAGCTATTGGGATGTGTGTGTGTGTATGTGGGGGGGGGGGGGCGGTCAGGCAGGCGGTACTGTTTGTGTGTATGTGGTGGGAGATGCTGGTTTGTTGACCTTGGGCTTCTCACCTGTGCTGACTTGTCCCATGGTTCAAGAATTGGAAACTTTCTCCCTCTCTGCCCCCGACAAGCCTTGCCTACAGCAGTAATTTGGCATTTAGAGATACGATTCCTGCTTGTACCTGGGCTAGAGGAACCTACTCTCCTGTAGGAGGCCGCCACCCCCACCCCCACCCCACCCACAAACAGTTCTGGGAGAACTGACTTAAGTTCAGCCACTTATTGACTGTGTGACCCTAAACAAGTCCTCTGCCCTCTCTGGGTTCAGAGGATTGAATTAGTCTCTGATCTCTCCAGCTGCAGCCAAAGGGCCTGCCTTAGGTGGCTCCAGACTCAAGTTTTGTAAGCCTGCTGGCTGACAGCACCTATGGTCTCACTGCAGGTCTCAGCAGCAGTCTGGGAGCCGAGTGGTTTGGGGGAGGGCCTTGGCACGAGAGCAAGGAGGGTGCAGCCACTGCCCCATCCATGGCTGGAAAGTCTGATTCAGGAGGCTCCAAGCTGCCCTGCAGTCCTTGGGTGTGGCAGTATCTGGGACTGCCTGCCAAGTTGGCTGCAGTCACACCTGGGAACCAGACAACAGCCGCTGGCTGGCTGACACAGCCAACCCCATGGCCTGACGCAGGAGTTTTAACAAGGGTACTCCTACCTACTCACCAGGCCAGATGCCATGCCCTGGGGTGGGCATCAGCCTGGAGCAGGAACTGGCACTGAGTAAGGCTCAGTCAGCTCTAATGGGACTTGGGGAGGGGGCTGGTCACTGCTGCAGCTCTGCCAGGGTCCTTGGGACAAGGTCTTTGGCCCGGTCCTCCCCTTGGTCTACATGGGCACAGCTGCCAGAGTGCGGGAAAATAGTCCCACAGGGAAAACAGTCCCTTACCTCCAGCCTCCCCTATCTGCCTGGCCAAGGTTTCCGCCAACCCCACCTTCCTGCTCCCTAGCTACTCTGGCCCTGGGCTTCAGTTACTGGAGGGTTGCTCTCACTTTGAAACTCTGAAATGGAGAGCAGATTAGAGCCCTATTTTCTGGTCTCTGCTCCTTCCAAACCCTGGATTAGTAATGCGGTAGAAAGCAGATAGGATTGGAAGTCAGCCATACATGAATCTGAAGGCCCCTCTGGGTGATGGCAACCCACTCCAGCATTCTTGCCTGAAAATCCCAAGGACAGAGGTGCCTGACAGGTTACAGTCTATGAGGTCACAAGAGTCAGACACGACTTAGTGACTAAATCACCCCTGGGTGATCCTGTGTAGGTAATTCACTCCTCAGTTTCCCCATCTATAACCTGGAGATGTTAAAGATCTAACCCCTCATAGGTTCTGGTGAGAAGGCCCAATGCCTGGCCCCCCAGGTTCCTGATGGCCAGGATAATACCTTCCCCTAGTCAGGGTCCTCCTCCAGGAAGCTTCTTGGAGGGAGCCGCCCGCCTCAGATTGCCCCACTGCAGCTTGCCTTCTCAGCACTTAGGTGCATTCTTTGCAGTAATTCCCCGGGAGGCCAGCAGAGCAGCCGGGCCTGAAGCTGACTTGGCAGCAAGGCGGGGTTGCAGAATCGCTCAGGGTAGGAATGCTGCCTGGTCACTTTCTGTGTGTGAAGTACTCTGGGCTACTGAGAAAACAATGTCCGATCCCAGCTCCTCTCTTCTCCCCTCCCTGGTGCTAGGCCCAGGGAGATGCCTCTGCTAGAGGAACAGATTCGAGATGACACAGGTTTCCCTGTCATGCTCCTGTGTCAGCGGATGGGGTCTGCTACATTCTTCACTTGGCTCACTTCCCTGCTGGCTCAGACGGTAAAGCATCTGCCTGCAATTGGGAGACCCAGGTTTGATCCCTGGGTTGGGAAGATCCCCTGGAGAAGGAAATGGCAACCCACTCCAGTCCCCTTGCCTGGGAAAATCCCATGGACGGAGGAGCCTGGTAGGCTACAGTCCATGGGGTTGCAAAGAGTCGGACATGACTGAGCAACTCCACTTTCCTTTCCTACTTGGCTCAGAAGGCTTCCTGAGATTTTGACCCACCCCCCTGCCCAAGAGCAGAAAGAGTCTGGGTTTTAACTTCCAGCCCTGCCATTTCTGAATGGTCTCTCCTCTGAACCTTAAGTGTTCTACTACTAGAAGCCTCAGTTTCTTCATCTGTAAAAATGAGTCTAATATTTGCTTCACTGGGACCTTGTAAAGATAAACGAGTGTGTCATAATCAAAAGAGCGTGCATGGACTTGAGAATTCAACTGACCTGGGTTCTGGTCTCAGCCTGACTACTCTATGACTTTGGACATGATTTTTCTGTGCCTCAGGTCCCCCACCTGTAAATTGGGATAATAATACATAAAAATTGGGATTATTATGAGGGTGAGGGAAGTAATCCATGTGAACTGCCAATTACATTCCCAACACATTTGAGCAGTTTGTATCAGGCCTGGCACAAAACTGTTTTACTTGCAGTTTTAGAGAGGTGGAATAGCGTAGTGGTTGAGACATGAACTAGAGTTTAATTCCCAGCTCTGCATTCACTGGCTGTGTGACTTTGGGCAAATTACGTGGCCCCCCTGTCCTTCCAGTTCCCCATCTGTAGAATGGGAGTAAGAGTACCTTCCTCATAGAGTTACTGTAAGAATTGTGTGAGTTTGTATCCTAATGTATAAAGTGCCTAGATCAAGACCTGGCATTTAGTAAATTCCATGCACCTATGTGTTATCATTATTGCTGTTCTGAGTCATTCCTCCCAAGAGGCCACTCTCCAGATTAGGAAATACAGGTTTAGAGAAAGAAATGACTTTCCAAAGGCAAACCAGCTGGTAAGTGGTCAACAGTGGTTGATGTCACTGTGGTTATTGCATGCGGACCCGCCCCCCCCCCCCCCCCAGAACCCAGGTCGTTGACAATTCTCCCTCCCGCCGGCCCCCCTACTGTAGGTCGTCCGCAGCAGCCTGGAGGAGCAGGGACTGCGGGTGCACGGCGTGCGGCTGCACGGCTCCGCCGCCAGCCACGTGCTGCACCCCGAGAGCGGCCTGGGTTACAAGGACCTAGATCTGGTGTTCCGCGTGGACCTGCGAAGCGAGGCGTCCTTCCAGCTGACCAAGGAGGTGGTGCTGGCCTGCTTGCTGGACTTCCTGCCGGCCGGCGTGAGCCGGGCCAAGATCACGCCGCTGACCCTCAAGGAGGCTTACGTGCAGAAGCTGGTGAAGGTGTGCACCGATGCGGACCGCTGGAGCCTCATCTCGCTGTCCAACAAGAGCGGCAAGAACGTGGAGCTCAAGTTCGTGGACTCGGTCAGGCGTCAGTTCGAGTTCAGCGTCGACTCGTTCCAGATCCTCCTCGACTCCCTGCTGCTCTTCGGCCAGTGCTCGCCCACGCCCATGTCGGAGGCCTTCCACCCGTCGGTGACCGGCGAGAGCCTGTACGGGGACTTCGCCGAGGCCCTGGACCACCTGCGGCACCGCGTCATCGCCACTCGCAGCCCCGAAGAGATCCGCGGGGGCGGCCTCCTCAAGTACTGCCACCTGCTGGTGCGGGGCTTCCGGCCGCGGCCCAGCACCGACGTGGGCGCCCTGCAGCGCTACATGTGTTCCCGCTTCTTCATCGACTTCCCCGACCTGGCAGAGCAGCGGCGCACGCTGGAGCGCTACCTCGAGGCCCACTTCAGCGGGGCCGACGCGGCGCGCCGCTACGCCTGCCTGGTGACGCTGCACCGGGTGGTCAACGAGAGCACCGTGTGCCTCATGAACCACGAGCGCCGCCAGACGCTGGACCTCATCGCCGCGCTGGCGCTCCAGGCGCTGGCCGAGCAGGGCCCGGCGGCTGCTGCCGCCCTGGCCTGGCGCTGCCCCGCGATCCCCAACGGGGTGGTGCCCGCCACCACCATCAGTTACTACGTGACCCCCGTGCAGCCTCTGCTGGCCCGGGCCCACGCCTCCTATCCCACCTGGCTGCCCTGTAACTGACTCGGACCCTGGCCGGTGAGGACTCAGCTGCCCCGGATGGAGTGGGGCCTCCAGGAGGGCGGGGAGGACCCGGTCAGAGACAGGCAGCCGGGGCTAGGGGGCCCAGCACTGCTGCAGGGTCGGGCCTCAGACTGAACAGACCAGATTTCTCCCCCAAGGGAGGGCCCCTGTGGACTGAAGGCCAAGCCGGGGTTCTCGGTAAATGGACTTGTTGGTTATTTGCGCCACCCTTTTGGAGCAGCATAATTGTCAGTGCCGGGGTAACTCATCTTGAGGGTCAACTGCCTTTAGGAGGAGACAAAGAATGTTTGGGATGGTAGCCTCAAGGCCCATCATCTCAGGCTGATGTCTGTGGCCTAGAAAGGGTCTTTCTGGCTAGGGCCAGCCCTCAGTGAAACCAGCAGCCTCCAAGAGCCTGCGGCCCATGCAATGGCTAAAATACTGTTATGATATGGGAATCACTCACTTTGAGTTGGGCTGAACCACTAACTAGGAGGAGGGAAGCTGAGGCAGATGCCTAGGTTTGCAGAGGGATAAGTTTAGCGCAGCCCCCTAACACCCCTACCCCAAGCTGTCTAGGTGCGCTGTGGGCAGGAACCAAGCAGCCTGGGGTGGAACACAGGCCATGCCCCTGTCGGGGTGCTTCTCCCTTCCCCCACGCGGTGAGGAGCCCTCCTGCCTGGGAGCTTGTTTTCTAGAAGGTGCTGGGTCCAATGTAGCCACAGTCAAGTGATCCCACCCTACTGGCCTGGTTACAGGGTCCTCACAAGGAAAAAGAGAGGTATGCCCCACCTCCCTTCCCATCCCTCTGGATTTGTTACTATTTTGCACTTTTAACACCTGCTAATAAAGATTGTCCACACTCAGCCTAGCACCATACTTTCTCCTGGGAGAAGGACCTTTCATGGCTGTGGGGTCCATGGCTGCCTCTCCCACAGCCTGAGTCAGGCTTGTATTGTGGGAGGGGACTTTGGGGGGCGGGGTCTGAGTCCCTGGCCGTGGTTAGGGAATGCCGCTCCTTCCCCCAGCTTGGCAGTTGTGCTACAAGCCTCTGTCTACATGTGTGACTTGCCCCTGCACATCACTTCAGCAAATCTCTTGCTAAAAAGCAGATATTTCAGTATTTCCTACCTGGAGTCCTGATGGCCCTGAACCTGGCCTCACACTCCAATGCTCAGGGCTGCTTGGCTCCATCTCTGCTCAACCTTCCCCAACCTTCCCCAGGAAGCAGGTGAACAAGGAGGGGGAATCTGAACTGGAGACCCTCCCTCTAGATGTGGCAGCTGGGACTGGGGGGTGCTTCTGGCACCTCTAAAGCCAGAGCCCAGGTTTGGCCTCCCCACTGGGAGTTGTCGTTCAGTCGGTAAGTCATGTCAGACTCTTTGCAACCTCATTGCAACACACCAGGCTTCCCGGTCCACTATCTCCCAGAGTTTGCACAAACTCATGTCCACTGAGTCGGTGATGCCATCCCACCATCTCATCCTCTGTCGTCCCCTTCTCCTCCTGCCCTCAATCTTTCCCATCATCAGGGTCTTTTCCAATAAGTCGGCTCTTTGCATCAAGTAGCCAAAATATTGTAGATTCAGCATCAGTCCTTCTAATGAATATTCAGGGCTGATTTCCTTTAGGATTGACTGGTTTGACCTCCTGCTGTCTCCTCCCTCTCGTATCCCAAGTGCTGGTGTGGGGATGCCTTGCTCTAAGCAAGTCCCCTGGAGGGGCAAGGATCCTTTCCAAACCCAGTTGGGACCATGCCTGGCTGCTTGGGAGTGCCTGCCGCCAGCCACAAGCTCTTAGAGAGGTGTTCCCTCAGGGCATCAGCCAGTCACAGGCCTGGACGCTGCCTACTGTTTACCCAGCCTCTTTGATCCAGGGAGTGCAATGTTCTTAACATATTGAGGCTCATTAGTGGCCTCTGAAGTGCTGGCTTTTATGGTTCCAGTCAGAGTGGAGAAAACAAGCCCACAGAGGAGGTCCCAGGTCACCTGGTTGAGTCCAGCCATCTCACCTGCTCAGTGCGTCCCTGCTGGGCTCAGAATGGCTAGGAGGATGAGTGGAAAGGCTGTCTTTGCTTGGTGACTAAAAGCAGCCTCCCACCCTACCCTGGCCCTGCCCACCCAACTAGGGTCCTAGGATAGGAGTTACTAAATTTGTCCCAACTCCTGCTTTGGGGTGTGAGGGGGAAGCTCACAGTGTAAGCCCAGAGGGTTAGCTTCTTGGGGTGGGGAGTGGGATTCACCTGCACATGCTTGTTTCAGAGGGGAGAGAGCCAGAAATCCATGGCACATGTGTGTGTGCACTGGATTCAGCCCACGTGTGCTGGCTACCCCTCCAGGGGGTGGAGACACAACAGTAAACAAAGACCAACATCCCTACCCTTGTGAAGATCACATTCGAATGGGAAAGATAGAAAATAAACTAAATTATATAGTCTTAGAAGGTCAGCGACATCTAAGAATATACATAACTGGGTAAGGGATTGGAAGTGCTGAGGTGTGCGATTTTAACAAGGGTGTGCCTCCTTGAAAGGGCGACAATCTGATTTAACAAAGACAATGGGGAGCAAACTGCGGATGTCTGGGGAAAGAGCCTTCCGGGTGGAGGGGACTCGTCACGTGCTCCTGGCAGGCGTGTCGGGGGAAGGGCACGTGTACCTAAGGCTGCCCAGCTCACCCTGTGCAGGTCTGTGTGCTCCCCAAGAGAAGTGGGAGACAGGAGTTTCCCGCTAACCGCTACCACTTCTGGAGAGCTCTCCCCCAGACTGGGTGCCACGCTGAGGTCTCCCCAATCACAGCATCCCAATGCACTCTGACAACAACTCCATGAGGGGAGAACAACTATTTCCATTTTACAGACAAGAAAACTGATGCCAGACAGCTGTGTGGGCCATTGCTGTTAACCCCTGCACCATCCTGCCCCTACCCTCTAGTTTCACGTGGTTGGGCATGACAGTATGTCTCCTGTACATACATGTGACATGGCACGTTTGGCATGTGACAGAAAAAAAAGCTTGCATTCCTGTGACTTGGCTGTTTTACAATGATGGCGGAGTGTAGCAGTTGTGCCCACTTGTACGTATTCTTGATGCAACTGTGACACCAGATATGGCTTGTGGTGACAGTGTCAGACTGTATGGCAGCGGGCATGACTGTGGGTGTGTTTGGGGGAGGTGTAGTGTTTCCGGGTGTGAGAAAAACACTGACTCAGTGGCTGGCATTGTTCTCTGATGGACAATCCCTGTAGCCATCTAAGATGCCAGGACAGGAAAGAATCAAGAACTAAGAGCCAGAGAGGGGGAAGACTGAGGGAAGAAAAGACCCATGCCCCTTCCCCTCTCCAAGCAACAGTCCATTTCCCCCCAAGACCTGCAGTGGTAGGGGAGCTCCAGAGCGGGAACTGCCTTGTTGTGAACTTTGGGGAATGAAAGATAGGCCCCCAGGCAGCTGCTGGAAGTGTTGGCCCTTCCAGTCCCACTCTCTGCCCTCCTTCATGCTCTGTGCCCCCGTGAGGCTGACCTCTATGAACTGTGCATCAATGGCTCCCTTGTTCCCTGCCTCTCTGTTGGGTTCAGCCAATGAGAGTCCCCAGCAGGAGGTACCAGAGGGAGGAGGAGAATGGGGTGTTTCTTTCCCTGCTCCCTTCCCATCAGGTCTCGGTGGTTGCCTACATCCTCAACCAAAGGCCCCTGCTCCTGTCAGGGTCCCTCTCCACACAGCTCACTCTCCAGGTCCCGAAGGTCTTGCCTCCCCCTCCCCTCTTTGCCCCTTCAGGCCCAGGAGTTGTAAAGGTATCTCTCTGTTGCTAGCCCCACAGATAATTGCAGTACCTTGTTAGTCTCTTAGGCCTAGCCCACAGCTTTGGAAATGGTCTCTTTAAAACATTTTTTTTATTTATTTGGCTGATCTGGGTCTTAGTCGCAGCTCCCAGGGCCTTCTATCTTCATTGCAGCAGGATATTTAGTTGTGGCATGTGAACTCTTAGTTGCAGCATGTGGGATCTAGTTCCCCCACCAGGGATAGAACCTAGGTCCTCAGCATTGGGTGCTCAGAGTCTTAGCCACAGGACCACCAGGGAAGTCCCAGAAATAGTCCCTTTTTAAATCTCTCCCCAGTTTGAGTGTGCCCTGTCTCCAATGGGACCCTGACTCTGGGGTCCATCCCCACGGCCCATGCGTCCATCCATTCACCAGCACGGTCACACGCAGTTCCCCACAGATCACCCTGCTGCCATGTCATCACACTCCCATCCCTTTGTCCCATGCGGGCATCTCATCCCTGAGCTTCCTCATCACATCCTTCATTGAGGAAGACTTCCTGGAGAGGTTCAGCTGGGAGCCAAGTCAAGGGATAAGTCAGTCTGCAAATCTGTCAACAGGCCCAGACTGCCAAACGAAACTAAAGAGAAGCTGCTCAAGGAACTGCCCACTTAAAGAGCCCTGACAGGCACGCAGAAAGGAAAGGTGGTGCGGGCACTCACAGAGTAAACCTCAAAACCACGCATGCTTGTCTCACATCACGGAGGTTTATTCTTCCTGAATGTACACAACAGGGAACGGACTCCATATGCGTTCATTTTGTGGAATTCTACAAGTTCTAGGTTAGGTGTGAGTCCATGTGGCCCCCTTCGGTCTACCATCAAGATATTTGAATCAATTTGAATCAATTTAATCTTTCATTTAAAACTTATTATTTTTATGTGGTCAACCCCTCTTCCTGAAAAAGAGGTGTATCCCCTGGGAGCCAGCAGCCCATTATCTTTCTGAGGGGCGGCAGGCAGGCACCCACACAGGGCAAGGATGGTGGGCGAGGGAAACAGGGATTGTTCAGAGCAATGTTCCCCCTCAAACAGCCCTCCTACCGCTGTTCGACTGAGCAGCAACGGCATCTACCAAAGTGGGGACCCTAGCTGCACTGAGACTTGTTTAAGAATGGTAATGACATTTTTAAAGAGAAATCCTTTTCTCGGTGGAAAGGTTTGCTGCTCTGTTAACCTGATTG